TGAAATTTGAAACTCAATATTAATTTTACTAATTAAAATTTTAAAAATCATTTTAAACACCATACAACTCATTTGACACAAATAGTTTAAATTTTAGTTTAAATTATCGATTCGGCTTGCGGTTCTAACTTAATTTTTACGAAAGTTACCGTTATTGTATTATATGGTTTACTACTCGCTCCATATAGCAATCAAATTAAGCTCCAGTTAACAGCTAATTTTGAAAACAAGATACGGAATAATTTGTTAAGATTTCAAGATTAATTTAGTCATATAAGAAAATTGTCGTAAGAATAGCAAGGTTTTGCTATGAATAAGCTACTTATAGCCCCATAATAGTACCAAAAAATTAATTTTTAATGTTAGAACATTTTTATTGCATTTCAATAATTTCAGTTAGTTTTAATATCAAACAAAAATATTTTAGAGCATAAAACATTACAACCACATTAAGTTGTTGAAAATACCAACCACTTCAGCCCGAATAAATATTTTACAGAGTTTTTGTTTAAATAAAGTAAAAAATTTTAGAAATACAATAATCTGTCTAAGTATATAAGACAGTCATCTTGGTTATTATCCGGAGGCGAGTAAACAAAGACAGAATAATTCCTTTTATTGTTTACTTTCTGACTGAATCCTGTTTCTTTTTTTAAAACTTTCCTATTTTTTTCGATAGTTTTTTATTGAATTTTTTGTCAGTGTTGTAATAAATTTGTATTTTGCTTTTTATTTTTTTCAATATCCTTTCACATATCATTCCATTTATTCGTACCAAATACATTTAATATCACAGATGAGCAAATGAAATTTCACTTTTTTATACATATGATAATAAAAAACACAAAACAAAATCTGAGCTAAGTTGTAAGTATAAAATGTGGTGGGGTTTTCGAAACGGTATATTAAAACCAAGAGAATCGTAAGATTGAAAATTTGTTACTTGCACATTTCTGGAAAAATTATTTTTATAGTCCTGACGTAAATGTTTACATTCCATGTTACCATATACAAACATTCGAATGAGTCTAAATGCATAGAAATTGTAAAGTTAAAGTTTTAATAAAAAAAAAAAAAAACAAAAATAAAATTGAAACAAAAATTTTCCCCTTTAAAGGTTGTATGTATATCCTGTAAAAAATTATTTTGGCAGTAAAATTTTATAAATAAAGCTTCTAATATGCCGGATGTTAAATAATACGAAAACAATGTAAATTACTGTTAGTGTGTGCTCTTCAATAGCCCTGTATGTATTGAAAAAATTGGTATTTTTGTTTTTTTTTTTTTTGGAAAAATTTTTATTAAATTTTTAATGAAAAAATATTAAAATGTTGAAATTGAAATTGATGGTAAGTTACAACCGAGTAGAGCAAAATGTAAAAATGAAAAAATTTTCTCATTTTCTATAAAAAATTTTTATTATAGTGGAAAATTTAGAAACAGTTCAATAGAATAACCCCAATTAATCCAATTTTGATAAAAAATAATTTTAAGCTACTTTAAAATAAATAGTTGCTTTTTAATATTGCAAATACAGTTAGTGTCACGGAAGAGAAATAATTTTGTAAATTATGAAATAAACGGCTCCGATCCCTATAGTTATTTTAATTTTTTAATTTCATTTTCGGATTCTAAGCGTGCTTTGACGACGAATTCTGCTTATATAAATTTTAATAATTAAATTTTTTAATTTTTAACACTTGCACTAACTTTTTAAATAAGAGAAAGCTAAGAATTTAATTATTTGGTTCCACCATCGACTAATATCTTACATAACATATTATAATATTCTGGAAAAAATGATTGATGTAATGAAATTAGCAATGTTAGTACTTCTTCCTCTTATATGAACATATTAAAATAATACTAGATGGTTCATTTTAAAAGTTTATTTATAGTGAATTTAATTTTAATAAAGCCAAAGACTTGGCTATTAACAAATTTTAATAAAATAATTTTACTTCCAATCTGATTTGTTGTGGTAAGACTCGTTGAATATTAAAATGGCGAAAAGAAATCTTTTTGTAAAAGTTAAATACTTAAAGTTATTATAAAAATTAAACAAGGATTTAAAATTTCTAAAATTACCCAAAAAATTTTATTTATTTTTTTTTTGTGTTTTATTTATTCATTTTTGCTTGTTATTTTTCTCTTTAATGGGCATATCAGATTAAGATTAATATGCATAAAAGTTAAAACATTATTTTTATCTCCCTCACACTCTCAATTCATTTCTTATATACTTGAAAAGGAAACCCATTACCACTCTCGTTTGACCTTTTTACACAATAAAATTTCAAAAGGAAATTATAAATATTTATATACATATTATATCAAGGATAAAAGGATTATAATAATGGCTGAAACCTTGAAAGTATATTTCACATTTTATCTTTTTGTTTTGTTTTTGTTTATGGTGTCCTTTTTCAAAAATTCTAAAAAGATTTTTACCAAATTTCTTTACTTTATAAATGATTAATATTTTTTTTTATATAAGGAAAAAAATCTTTATTGCTATACACATACAAAAACGCATGTAAAAATAAAATTGAAAAATAGTCTTTCGGAAAAAAATTCGAATTATTTCCTTTGAGCCAATTTTTTGCTATTTCCGTTTTCCTATTTGAACTACAGGAATATTTCGGTTCGAATTTTGTATATTTACGGGAAAAAAATATACATTTTTCTTATATTTTCCGGTCACATTTACTTAATCGAAAAAAAAGGACATCCCGAAAAAAAATTAAAAATATTATTAAAAATTGATGACAATTGAAAAATTCGAATCTAGAATGTGGAAAAATTTAATACTCATTATATAAGGATTTTAAATGGCAAGGCTGACCACTGGAATGGCTATACACTGTAAAATAAAAGATATATGAATATTTCTTAGCGGCTAGTACCATGCTAATAAACTTTTTCTAGGGCACATCCCGGAATGATGCAGAAAATTAATAGCTATGCCCAAACCGAATTTTACTTTCTCGAAGCCCAAAACATTATTCTGAATTTATAGTTTTCTTAGATTTTGTTTGAAGCTATAATTCACTGTTATTTGCTATTATGTAAGAAATAAAGACTTACAATTTGTGGTGAGACGTTAATTTCTGGGTGAGTAGCTATTACTGAAATTTGTATCAAAATTGGAGTTTAACCAAATCTACTACTTTCTAATAGCTTTTAGCCAACTTTGTATTCGAAATTAAGTTTCCATGTCCTATTATAAGAACTTAATCTTCAAATTATTTTGAGCTACAGTTTACATTATAAGTAGAATAAAATTATAAAAGAAGGATAATTTGTTCTTGTTCCATGATTAACCTTAAATTACAAATGCAGTGACGTTTTTTCCGATGAATTTCTGTGAGGACAATGGTAGAAATACACAAAATCGACTCCGGTATTTTTAATTCAATTGGTAAATTAATTGTAGTTATACATAATCATATATTTGATATAATTCAATTTTATTTCTCTTTGAAATAGTTTAAAATGAACTTTTAAGCCTTCGTAGTCTATAATCCAAATACGAAATACAAGACAAAAATAAACAAAATAATCTCAATTCTCTTACAATCATTGTGAATCTTTTGTATTCGGATAATACAGAAACACATGTAAATATATATATATATATATATGGAATTAAGAAATATGGTGGAGTTTTGTACTAAAATAAAGCTAATGACTTTCTTCAGTCTACAAATCAAATACGAATAAAAATAAAAAACAAAAACGAAATGTTTTGTACCAGGAAAATGAAATACGCTTCACATAAATTAATTATCCTTTTTTCTGGGAAATTTTTAACAACACACAGACATTTTTTAATTAAACAAAAATTCTAGTCGATTTTCCTTCTCTTTTCTATTTCTCTTTTTACGATTCTCATTTATAGTTTTGCTTTTTTTTTTGAAAAAATTTAAAAACGTTTTTCCTTCATATTTTAATTCTTTAAAGTACAAAATTCACGATATAATTTTGTGTGTACAATATCCTTGATGAAATATCCTTGAAATTATTTTAATATTTTTGTATTCATTCAAAATATTCTAGATGAGTAAAACGAAAATTTTAATTTTTGTGTTTCTTTTAAAATAATTTTTTTTTTTGCTAATAGATTGCGCTGCCGCTATGTAAAAATGCTAGTTTGAATTATATAAAATCTATATACACACATACATAAAATGTGAATATCGATTTAAAAATTGTATAATAGCTTTTTTAATAACTTAATTTGTGTGCATTTTAACTGGACGTGTGGTACAATAATTATTAGTCTAGTATTCAAATTTTTTCAACAAAAAACACATTTCAAATAAATACAGATACATAGCTCAATTCTCTAAATTTATTTTATTTGTCGAAATATCGATATCTCGGCCTGAGTTCCTTTTGATTCCGCTTGTGGCAAGTCTATTGTATTTCAACTTTGGTTGTTAAAAGAATAAATTAATTAATTTTTCAGGGAAGTTTTCGGGAGCTTCCTCTAAAGCCGATTTTATGTTATCATTAATTAACATTACGGTTATCAATAACGGACTGCCAGTTCTTCATCCTTTTGAACTGTTTGTACTCGTACCGTTCAAACAATTAAAATCATTCTTTTTTTCTATTTCTTCCCCAAATTCTTCCATTTTTTCTAGCTGTACTTTTGTATTGCATTTCATGGTACCACAAACTATTGAAGTTACCATTATTATTGTACATGAAAACTAAAATTCGAGACATAAAAATAAAAACTTAAGCTTTTTTTAAAATTAAAATGTTTGTGTTTGTGTAGATATATGTACACATACAAGGGAAATGATTATGTAGTTGCAATTAAATATTTAAAATAGAAAATATATACATAAATATAATATTATTGCAGTATGTATGTGAAAATAAAATTATTTTGAAATGAGAGATGAAAAAAAAAAAAAAAAAAAACTAAACTATACCATTACCTAAGAAAATGGCGTATTTAAAACAGAAAATTTCAATTAGCAAATTACCTTTTAATTCCCGTCGACGGCAACAATGATGATGATGACGATAACAACGACGACATTGATATTGATGCTACCGATGATGCTATACCGTTTGCAGATATTGATGTTGATGATAAGGATGATGATGATGGTAATATTAATGATGCTGATGAAAATTCATGTTCAACATTACGTTTATTATGATTATATATAAAATCATGTTCTCGTTCATATAGTTGTTTTTGCTGCTGCTGTTGTTGTTGTTGTTGTAGTTGCTGTTGTTGAAATAGCTGTATATGATGATGATTATGCTGGATATGTCCTTTATTATTGTGATTACGTTTATGTCTAGAGATTTTATGCGGTGGACCAATAGCACCATGTAATTTATATAAGCCTTCTAATGGGCATGTATGGTCAGTTGGCTCATTAGCTATATAACAAATATAAAAAAGAAAAAATATGAAAAAAATTACATACGTATAACAATGATTAGAAATAAAAGAATACAGCGATTTTATTATATTATAACAAAAATATTTAATATTTAAATTTTAGAATATTTTGTCAGTTAGACGGTGAAAAATAAACGCATTTAAACGATAGAATAAGAGAGATAAAACCAGAAGAAGAGGATTTGTGAACACTTAAAAATCTACTTTTGTAAAGAACATTATGTATTCAAAATATTTAAATTAATTTTATTACATTCATTCTGAGGTAGTTGTAATGTAATTCAAAACATAATCGATGTTATAGTTCGTCTGGAAAGCACCGAAAAGGCAGAAAGTCACTGGATCGTAGACACTTTTGTATATATTCCTATTGTTCTAAGAATATGACAAAACGGTTGAATCTATTTTCGAAGCTTACGTGATCTGTCCGCGAATTAGGTTCAAAAATAATTAAAAGTTAAATTTCAAAGATAATAATTCTAACAATCGCCATAAATTCTCAAAGAATTTCTACATAATTTTTACTCTTCTCAAAATATTTTTATATTTTAATATTCAAAGTTTTCATATTAAATTAAAGAAATCTTTACAAAATAAATTTAATTATTTTAAATTAATTAAGTTGCCACATATGAAGAATAATATTTTGTTACTAAAACAATTAAAAAGTTATGAAAAATTTTGATAAAACTGGAATATTTTATTTAACATAATTATAATTATAATGATATTATATAATAAAAACAAGAAATTACAAAATACCTAACATGAATTTTCTAATCATATTTCAAAATATCCTTTTTTTTTTACTTGTGATGTAGTTACTCATTTAATTTATTATCTCCTTATAATCTTGTTATATAAATTTACAACATAAGTATTTGTATACACTTTTACACAATTATATACATTTTATGTAAATATATATGCGTATATACTTACATATGTAGTATATTTTATTTTAATGTTTTCCATCTATAATTTTAGCTTCAGTAATTTTTCTGAACTTTTATTTTACTTAACTTTTTATATTATTTTTTGTCACATATTGACGTCCATATGATATATATAAAAATTTTAGGATAATAATTTTAATTAAAATATTTCAGTAAACATAAAGAGTTATGCATTGGGTAAATACATATGTATATATAATTTACAAATTTTCTAAAATATGTCATAAAGTATGCTGAGGCTAAACTGTGAATTGAATTCAACTACTCCTTACGAATTCTGTTATAAACTGTTGGAAATTTTTTAAGTATGAAAAAATTTTATTTAGTTCAGTTACAATTTTCAATAGGATGCCTAAGTTCCATTTTAAAATCATAATTCAGTATGATTTTAAAATATTTTTTAAGGTTTAAAAAATCATATAAAAATATATTAATTGTATTAATCAAATATCATCAATTTATGCGAATAAGAGTTCGGAATTTGCTTATAACAAGGCAATACGTTTATGAAATATGGTACAAATTCATAGTAATTTTCTGCTGCCCCATAAGATATGCAATATATTTTAAAATTTTATTCAATTTGCAGTGTTTTTTTTTAAATTCTTATCATATTGATTGTAACCGTTTTAAGGGTATATAGTATTCCTATCTACCAAACTGACACTATTAGAAACAGCAATGAAAATGAAAGAGTGGCTAATATTAATATTTACGCATATATTTATATTTTTTCCGATAGATGGCTTTATAACTATATTCTACAGCAAAATAATTCTGAAATTCCTGAGATTTAAGTTTAGGTATAATTTTATACTTTTCCACATTTGCTCAAAAATTTTAGCAACTATCAAATTCGCCAACAAATTTTCTCATAATGCCAAAATTTGTGTCTAAATTATATAGAACATTTATAATAACAATTTGTTATGATTAGAATATTTGTACAGATTTAATTTTTCTCTTTTTAAACCTGGTATAACATATTTTTTTACGAAACATTTTATGATTATTTCATGTTATACTTAAGTACTCTTATGGACCCATCAATAGTCTTTCATTTCAACAAAAATGTGATTTTAATTTATAAATTTCCATCAATAAAAATCAGTAAAATTAAAGTAATAGAAAAAAGAAAAATTTTTTTTTTTGTTCTTTAGTTTCACAAATTTTTTTTAAACCCTTTAGTTAGAATTTTTTTATGAATTTTTAATAATAATGTTTTTTTAAAAGTTTATGAGCTTATCTTCTCTAAGCATACACAAACACTATACAAACATAGGTTTTTCATATACTACCAGATGTTGTGTTATTGCAATATTGAAATTGCATTTTGAAAATTCTTATACTGAATTTTAGCTTTATTATATTTAAAGTTATTCAAAACTCCATTGCGTTTGAACAACGGGGCAACATTAGTGTAGCGGGTGGAAATTCAACGGGAAACTTTCCTTGGCTTATATGGCCAAGAGACTGGTTTTCGCACATTTTTCGTCGGACATTGATGGGTTCTAATTCAAGAGCCTGGTAAAGTTTTAGAAGCTGTCGTGGAGCGACGCAACCGCTGTCTCTTCCTACTACTATTTCTCTAACTATATTTTTATAAAACACACAATGGCTTAAATATTATAATTTCAGCACAACTTTTTTCTCTTTACATGAGATATAAGACGAAAATTCTATTTTTCTTTTTTGAAGGTTAGAAATAAGAAAGCGCAAAATCATCCTTTTCGTTACTTAAGTGTTTGGCACTTCAGTATTTATAGTATTTTACAAACTTGCATTTCAAAATTGAAATAACAAAAAAAAAATTTTCCAAGGTCTGGGGCTATTCTCTTCAATAAATATTGGCTACAGGAAAGATTTTATAGAAAAAAAGAGCTCAAACAAATTAAAACAAGTTTCATTAAATTGATAGTTACCACAAAATCAAAAACAACAAGTACAGCAAGGGTTTTTCTCTTAACTTCATATTACGGATATAGTTTTAAACCATTTTAAAAATCACGATGATCACCTTTGGTCCACTAACCTATGAATTCATACAATACCTAATAATGTGAATTTGAAAACTTTCTATTCTAAATGAAGAATAGAAACTTATTTGCTCCAAAAATATTATAATGTGTATGTACCTTGGAGTGGAAGTCTACATCACTATATTCAAAATATTTGCTTGTTTGTGAATAGATATTACAGTATTAAACTAATATCCCTCAAAATATTTTGTAATTAGGACTTTTTTCCAATAAGTATTACTTATGTAATATTCACATACATATATAATATTCGAAACAGAAAAAAATCCTTTTTCCTTTTACTTCCTTGTCATAATAATATTATGGTATACTTTATAGATTATCTTTGTTGAAAGTATGGCCAACATTAAATTTTTTTTTTGTTTAGAAAGAAAAGGCTAAAGAAGAGAATGGAAACGTATACATATTGCCGAAAACTATACCCCAATAACTATAATATAGAGAAAAAAAATGAACAAGGAAATCTCTTACACAAAATCTATTATCTTTTATTACTATATTAAAAATACATTACATATTATTACAACATCACATACACACATATATAATTTTACAACACATGCTTTCATACATGTATGTAATTAATGTTCATACATGTAAGTATATACAATATGAATAAAAGAGAAATAAAGAACAACAAAATGTATACTCGTAACAAAAAAATGAAAAAGAATTAAAAAAAGATATTGTATGAAGATAAAGTTAACTAACCATTAACCTCAAAATACATATTATGTTCATATACCTACATATATAGGTACATACACATATTATACATATATATAACCGCAAAATACTGATATCAACCTCATTTCCATTAATTTAACCACAGTCAATACTTGTTATTCATGTTCTTGTAAACTCTCTTTACAGTTAGTTAGTAAAGAATTGAATGGTAAAAAAAATTTTTTTATTTTTTCTTTTTTTTTACTTTCTGTACATCAAATGGCACACGAACCATAATAAATTATAGAATGAATCGGATGTAATATAGATGGAAAAAAAGAAGAGTAACTCATTCATTTATTGTACATTTTCATATTTTTTGGAAATTACAAAATTTTAAAATCAATTTATCCTCATTTGATATGCATATACTTAACATTTTTAATGAATTTATTACAATTACAATTTAAATAGAAATTACAAGGATGGAAAAAAGGAATTGCTTATTTACTCGAAATTTTCCTATAATACAATGCAGGACAATAGTTTTTTTGTTCCAGTATAAAATAAATTTCAATAAGAAAATATTGTAAATTCGTTTATATTAGAATTCAGAATATTTTCGGATTGATTGATTAAAATTGTCGAAATGACAACATAAAATTAAAAAAAATAATTAAAAATATCTAATGTCAGTGTTAAATATGTTTTAATGCAATTACGAAACTCTTATATACTGCTCTTACTTTTATATATATATACTAATACAAAGTCATTATAATTACATACATATTTGGAAAATTTAATATAGTTAAACGGCACAGTGTTTATTATTAACCATTTGGAATGGCGAATAATCTTTCGAATTTTGTTTAAATTTTCTAAATTAGTTTAATTGCAGTGATACTTACAAGAAAATTATTTTCAAAACGAACAATTTTATCTAGAATGTTTAATGGACATTAAAAAATTTGAATAGAGTGTAGATTTTTATTTATCATACCTTTGCCTGGTGAAAGTTAGCAATGCATTTAACAATTCATAATATTATTTAATTTTGAATGTTAGTTACTTACAGGTCTTTTCAATGAATCATGACTATTAATACCATTGGACGGACCAAACTAAATAGTTTGTTGTTGTCTAAGATCAAAAATAATCTTTTTAATTTTGTCGAATCCACGGTGACCATAAGTCCGAATTTTAAAATTTCGAATGATATTATCGTATATTTCTAATAATTTATAATATTTCTTTATTAGACCATTAAATTTCTGAACCGAAGTATATGCAATTTTTTTTTTTTTTAAATGAGTAATCTTATTGAAAAAATAATTGTAATCTTTTTGAAAAGTGAGTAATCTTATTGCATTGGAAAAACGGTGAATTCTGTTTTGAAAGTAAGTAAATACTGAGGCGAAAAAGTGAAATACACTATTAGCGTCTTAATTATTGTACAAGTCATTATATATATTATAATCATAATGTATGTAAACTATTATTTACACATTTTTCTTTTAATTTTCAAGTTTTCTTAAAAAATTTCCGAATGAAAAAAACGTGTTCAATTAAAATTTATTATTTAGATTCTTAAATAAAAATATTTTAAACTATTTATAAAATAAGGCTTTCATATATAAAAAAAACCTGTTTAACATTTATTGCTATAAAAAAATATTTTCATTCAATTAATTTAAATTATTTATTACATAGCTACCAACAAAAATATAAATATAAACTTTACCTTAAACTAATTATTCAAAACTATAAAATTTATTATGGGAATTACTTTCTCCTGAATAAATAAATCAAAATAATTAAAAAAGGAGCACCATAATATTCCACTCCATCTTGATTTATATTATTATTATTTTTTATTGTTTTTTTCTTCAACTTTTTCATTTAAATAACAAACAAATAAAACAAATCACTTTTTTCTTTTACAGGATAATTTTTTTTTTGCTTTAAAAAACATCAACAGTCAAATAAACAAAGGCAACAAAACTAATGGTAATAAATAAAAAATCCTTGCTGTAGAACCTCGGCACGTGTCACCTCTCAGTATTAGTTTTTTTTTTTATATTCACTCTTATAATCTTTTCATATAGCCCAGAAGGAGTAGAATAAAATAAATGAAGGAAATGTAGGTCATGTGAAAGTTATTTATTTATTTTTTTTCTTTTTTATTAATTTTCTTTATTACTCAAAGTACATTGTGTACATGAACTGTGTACGTTAATCCCTTCGTATTGGTTCCCTACACATATTGGTTAATTGCTTGCGCTTTACTAATCAAACTAACTTTTCCATTATTTCGTTAGTTCGAGAAGTAAGGACGGGTTCTTTATAAAAATTTCTTGTTTTTAAATTTTATAATCTTGGAGATATACACTTACATACTTACATATGTAAGTTCTAAGTCAATTGCAGAATAAATAGATACTAAAACATTAAAGCTGAAATTCCTTTAAAAACATTATTTTTATTTCAAACATTTGTCAAGCTTTCATTATGAAGAAAGAAGAATAAGATTCAATATTGAATTTTAACGTGAATGGAACACGTTGTACACTTAATGCAAGTTGATGTGCATTAATATTGAAATATGTGTATATGTATGTATATGTAGTGTATAGAAGATCGTACATATAAAAGAAACTCAATAAAATATTCATTACGATTTATGATTATACAATATAGAGTTACCATATCTCTTCATTCTATATGAAGAATTTTTAAACTTAAATTAGTAATTTTATATGGTAAAAAATGAAAATAAATTTTATATAACGTGTTCATATAGCAAAATTAATACTTTTAAATATGCTTTTCTATCGCATTTATCCAACATTCTATTCAGACTATTCTCTCAGATTTATTTTAATTTAATTTTGTAAAATTTGATTATTTACTTCAACAATAATTTTTTAACAAATATATAATAGTAATATAACTACATCTTGAGCAGATCATTATAAATTTGGGTGTAGGAGTTAAAAGTCTTATAACAACCTTGTTATTTCGAAGCTATATCTTAAGGTAGAAATTTAAGCATCAAATATTGCTTATCAATATTGTTTGTTAATAATTTCCTTGATAAATCAAAATTTTCACAATTTTCAACAAAATTTGAATTACGTCAAAGAAGATCGATCAGCAATGCTGCATATTATGCACATACATTTTGTACCTTAATTTTTTTTCTAAAATACTTATTTTTAAAGAGTAAAAGTTGGTAACTCTATTACATGATATATTTTGCATTAAAATGGTATAATAGGATTTTTAATATACTTTACACAAAGCAATAAACAAAAATTCAATGAAATATATAATATAAAAATGAATTATTGATTACTACCACATTCATAAACTATAATCTTAAAGTTAAAGCGCTAAGAATGAAAACTTTTATGGAAATCTGGTTGCTATACGATGAACAATTACAAAAAAAATAAATAAATAAAAAAAAGCAATAATTCAATTTTAGAATAAGGAATATTAAAAAGTTGTGGTACATGGAAAAACTTTTAAATGAAGTTGTAATTCAAAATCACAAAAAAAGGAAAACTGAAAGGGGAAGAAAAAAAAATTGAATGAAATAACACAACAAAATAATCACAGGAATAGAAAATTTTTAAATTTTCTATTTTTCAATGAAATTTTCTAAAGAAAATTTTTATAATAAACTGCATTGTCGTGCTTATTTTCTATGTACTATATGCTCTGCTGGTATTCCACATTATACGTACTTGATCAAGGATTTTACAAAAGAGAAATAAATGAGAAAAATATATGTAGGTATGAGAGAAATAATATTATTTTAAACCTATAAATATGCAATTTTTTTTTATTTCATTACACTTTATCAATAATTCTGATTTCTAAAAATTGTTCTAGCTAAAGAATAAAAAAAAAATATTTTTTTCTTGAAAGTAAATTTAATAATTTCTTTCTAATTAAATTCAAAGTTTATTCGATTTTAATAGAGATTTAATGTTATATACATATAATTTTTCATTTTATTAAGTAGCTATTATTCAATTTATTTTTAATATATACCTATTTATATATACATAAGTGAATATACTTACATAATAATGTAATATATGGTAATTTTGTGATATCAAAATGATCTGGAGCACATGCATCTTCCAAACGATTTGCTGGAGCACCCATTTGTATTTCAGCAATATGAATATCACGTCGATAAAACATCATACACATAAAACCAGATTGACTGTAAAAACAAAATTATAAGTTTAGAAGAAAATCAATTTCATGTGAAATCTTTTAATAAAAATTTTATATAGCTAATAAAAAATATGTTTAACTAGAATTTATTAGTGATAATTTTTTTCGAATAAAATTTTATAAATTGAAATTAAGTACTAGAAATATGAGAAATTTCAAAATTGTGAATTTACTTGAAAAATTACGATTGTGAACTGCTTCAGTATGCTTTTATTGTCTGAGTATTTTATATTGGCAATATCGTTCATAATATTTTGAGCATTACAATTAAAAATTTATAAAAAATTTTAGACCACCTTGAAATTTTATAAATTAACTTAAATTTATTATTTTAAAAATATTAGCTATTATTTATTTTGCACAGTTTTCAGTTTATAAATTATTCAGCTTTCTGCTTCAGCAAAACTTATGACTTCGAATACTCTAATATATTTGAGGAATTTTCAAAAATTTTTAAATATTCTCAAACAAGTTCCGTAACATTTCCAAAAATAAGTTAAAAATAGTTTTCAGAAATCGAATTTTACATACTCATATGCCTCATTATTATAATTCTGTATATCTCGCTGATTTAATAAGAATACGATTTTCGTTTCCGCAGTTGTTAGTTATTTAATAAAATTTAAAAATTAACTTACCATCCAGTTGTATGATGTACAACAGCCATCATTTCAGTTGAAGTTTGTTTATTAATTTGTTCACAAAATGCACGTGTTTCATAATTACTATTTATTCTTTTAATAATAAGTGAACCATCGCTATAAAAAAGAAATAGAGAGCAAAAAAAAATTATTAGTTTCAAGTTTTAGAAATTGCTTCTTAGTAATGAGTAATATTACACAGTTGAATATTAAAATGCAAAAATTATTAATTGTGGTAAAGAAATATTCGATTTTATGCTTGATTAAAAAATGTTCGAGTTATAGAAGATTCGACTTATTAATGAAGTTTGAAATAAAGTTTAAATTGTATATTATATCCTCTTAATGCTGATAATTTGTTAATAAAAATTGTGATTACGGTTTTAAAAATTCATTCTATGGTAAAGATAATTAAAAAAGCAGTGAAGACTAAAATGTACTGGAAGAATATTGAAATACGCCTTAGTTATATTTTTTTTCTTTTCTTTTCACTCTCAAGCGAAATATAGGGCTGTTGAAAGATGCCATAGTAAAGTGATATAGAATACACGAGCAACAGTTATTTAATAATTTTCAAATTCGTAGAAAGGCACTTACAAATTATGTAAAAATACTTTACTCCTGTGATTTTAAATCTAATAAATTTAATTACTAATAAAGAATTCGAAATGAGAAACACAAAAACACATTTTCTGCTATGCATGAGTAATAAAACACGAATTTTATGAATTTTATTAATTAATGCTTTTCTATTAGATAAAATTTTTAAAAGAAATTCTACTTTAACGCGAAATAGAATTGATTTAATTCAATTAAAAATACAATGAAATTTTTACTTCATCAATTTTCTATCGTGCAGTAATAAAATTTTTAATTTATTTTATTAAAAAATAAAACTTCAATCCTTATTATATTATATTCAAAATTAAAAGAATTTTTAAATGTTTTCATTAATTTCAAATCAATAGAGAGAACAATAATGAAAAATATAAAAGGAAAACTTAACCTAAATTTTATTTGCCTTATTATTATTGGTGCAGTAATTAAAAATTTATTAACTTTCATAAATACCAGGTTGACTTTATTTTAAAGAAAAATGGTATTAATGACGAAATTTCAAAACAAAGAGAAAAATATATATACATACATATAATTTTTTTCATCTTTAATGAATAAATTTTTCATTTAGGAAAATTTTCAATAAAAATTTTTCTCATTTTAATAAAAAAATAAAAATTGCTTTAAAAGTACTGCTTTCTTTAAAATAAAATATTAGAATATAATTAAAATGTCGTGCAAGGGTGTCAGTATTTTTTAACCCATAAGAAGAACAGATTTACATTTTTGTTTTCATCTTTATTATAAGAGTTTCTGCAGAAGTACTAATAAATCACGAATACAAAAAAATTTTTACATAACATTATAGCTGCACTGAAACGTTCTTTGGGGCATAATCTTAAGGAAAACAAAATACTTGCAAAATCGTTTTTTGGGTAAAGCTTTTTTTGTGAATATCATTTGATATTCGTCACAAAGACGCTTTATCCAAAGTCAATTTCAACCAAATGTGTAATTTGAAATAATATTTGGTCTGGTAAAAAAAAATTCCAAGACAATAACATGAAGATTCTAACTCTCCTATAGCAATTATTAGAATAATAATAATCTGATTTTATACTTAATTTCTTATTTGATAAATGTACGATCTATCATATTTTACACAGTTCGTACTAGAACAAATAAATAATTTTTGTTTTGATCAATTTTTAACAAAATTTTTTATAGCTACATGTAAAATATCAGTAGCTATAATATTTATGATGCAAAACAAAAATTTTAAAATATGAAAAGAACTTTTTTTATTTTCATTTCATTCATTAGAGAGTAGAATTCATTTATTAAATCTATCAAAATGTTTAAAAACTTGCATTATATAGAAATTTTCTAAAAAGTAAAATTGATATTAAATAAATAAGTAAGATAAAATTTTGGTTGTATTTTACGTTAGTCTTTAAACGAAAACAGTGAAATGGGACCTACACAACCCTAGTGATCAACATTATTGATTAAATACTGAATTTCGAAATTTATAGCATTTGTTTTTCAAATGCTTATTCGCGCTTACATGGGATAGTGAAAATATTCTGCCACTCTCTCACATAGAAACAATGGATTGTAAAAGAAAAATATAACGAGAATTCTTCAGGCAAAAGAATTATAAAACGTTATCAGGTTACACAGTAGGTCAAAAATATTTTTCAGACCGTTTAATTTTTTGAATTTTAATCATATTTCTTGAATTTATTCAGAAAATCGGGTTTTTCGAAAAATTAGTTAAAAAATATAGAAAATAATGGGAAATTTGTACAACTTTTAATTTAAAAATTGAAATTTTCAAGATATGATTAAGTTGCATTTAATCCAAAATCGGACACATGTGATAATGCTACAAAGTATATAAGTTAAGTCGTCCTTTTCTATGTAATGGAAAGGAAAGTTCAATAAACGAATATAATTTCTTACCAAAAAATAAAAATAATTAAAAAGATTCCTTTTGATGTAAAAAACTATTTTTTTTATTAAATAAAGAGCAAGTCAAATAATGAAAAATTTATTGCAACCCTGTTCACTATAATATTGTGCATAGCAATAAGAAATAAAAAAAAGTTTTTCTTTATCCTGAATTAATATCCTTTGTTATAAGCGACGTTTTTTTTTCCTTTTTTATTTTTTCATCGATTTTTCTACTTTATTTCGTTGTACTAATTTTTTTTTGTTTTTGTTTTTTATTTCTTTTCATTCTTAAAACAGCTCAGATTTTTCAATAAAAAGATTTTTATTTTTGTGTTTTTCTTTTCATATTTGATTTTTGTTATTTTTATTGTTTTATTTTTCCATTATTATTTTGTTTAAGTTCCCTCCAGTGCAGTGCTATTAAATGTATATACGTATAAGTACACTACTCTTTATTGTTGTTTAGAATATTGAGAAATTGTCCTACTTTTTTTCTTCTTTCCTTTTTTTTCTCAATTTTTTTTTTTATAAAATTATTAGTCCAAAGATCCTTTTCTGTTTTTTTCTTTTATTTTTGAAAATATTTTCATATTATTGTTACATATATAATATTTAAGTGTAAATATATATGAATGTGTGTATGTAACCACATAATATTATCACTATACTTGGAAAAACAAAAAGAAAATATTTTTTTTATAGTGCTACAATACTTTTATAGTTTAGTATTGCATAAGTTTTCGAAATATATGAGAAGATGTAGGTATGCGTATGATGTGATTGCGTATGTAAACGTGATTTGTATGTGAACATAAAATAATTTTCCCACAATAAATAATAATAATAAAGTTGGAGAAAACGAATGGTTTGCAAAGCAGCACTTTTGTCCTTAAGAATTTGTTCGATTTTTAAATTTTTAGAAAGCTTTAGAACTTTTTTTGATATACACACTGCATTTTGCCGAAGGAATATTAAAGAAAAAAGTTATTTTGAAATTTCTTTTTATAGTATAACAATTGAATTAAACTACATATAACAATTAAAGGTTGCATAAATTTAGGAGACAAACTTTACTCATTTTCCTACAATTTTTCTTTCAATGAACTTTCGAGATTTGACATTATTATAAACTGTTTCTAAACTCCTCCGATATAATATTTATGAGAAGAATTGAAGAAAAACTAATGGATAACGATTCCAAATTATATAATTGAAGCTTGAAGAAAATGCCAATTTTCACTTTCTAAATTTGTGATATTCGACAAATATTTGTAAATTAGATATAATAATAACTAAAAAAGATGGATCTTATTTAGTATTAATAGGAGACTAAGGCAAGTATGAATTTCAGTGAAAATATTCCTTCATTAAGATGCATTTGATTTAGAAATTCAAGTTTTAACTTTTAAACGTTTTACAAGTTTTGAAAATACTTGCATAGAAGAACGAACAAAACGAAACTAACAAACAAATATTTTCAATTTTGTTTTTTTTTCGAAATGTTCTAAGAAATGTGGAAAAAAAAACTTATATTTTCTTTTTTTCTTTTTTTATGATAATATGGAAAACAGAAAAAACGCATGCAAAGAACTTTATATTATAAAACGATGTCGGTATGAGCAGTTCAAAATATGTACGTATATTTAAAAAAAAACGGATATGCACATATTTATATAATGTAGAAGAAACAGTGATTTAACTTAACCGACGAACACAACCATACCAAGAAACAAAATTTAGAAAAACACAGAAGTTTCTCTTCTAAGAATATTTTATTCTATGGGATGTAGATAGATTTTGTTGATACATACGCAGATACATACATAATATATTGAATGTAGCAAAAAAGAAAAAAAACCCAAGAGCTATCAAAAGGATCCTTATGAGGAAAACAAAAAATTGGAAAAAGCACAAAAAAAAACTCGAAAAAGCAAACAAAATAAAAGATTAGAAAAAAAAAGATTTCTTTTTTCATTTTGAAGAAAAATAAAATAAAAGAAATAAAAAAGAAAATCTTTTGTTATCCTTTAAGGATCATTAAGTCGAAGTATGTTTATATATATATATGAATATATATTTATAGACTTATATATTCACAAATCTTGATATACAAATGTGATATATATGGACATCAATAAATAAGTATGTACACAAAAATTTCTGCATATGAAAGTGCGTGCAAGTGTTTTTGGATTGGGATTGCCGGTATTTTTTATAACAAACAAAGTAAATACCAACGTAGATTTAGATAAAAACGATTCTCCTATTTGTTTTCTATTTTTTTTTTTTATTTTCTTTTGCTCTTATTACAAGCTAATTTATAAAATATTTCGATGGATATGCAGGTAAAATTGCTAAATGACCTATTCAACCCTTTTTAACAGCAATCTTCAATAAACCTTGACATTAATAATAAACAAAAAAAAATATACAAACGTGAATTTTCTAGACAGAAAATATTTTGAAACAATAATGCATTTCAAAAGATGGAGAATAAATTTGAAGATCCTTCAAGAATTACATTAAATTTTAAAAATAATGAACAATTAATTTTTTTATTTTTTTTTTGCGAAAAACAAATAAACCGATGAAAAATGCTCTTC